ATTAAAATCATATAATTTGAATCATGTTTCATATTAAAATTGAAAACAACGTCATAAAAGGATACCGCCATTTTAAGATAAGGCCTACAATGCAAGATAACCTTAAAGTAGATACAGACAAATGTACATGATGAAAATGCAGCCTTTGTACTAATTCCACCTTTGGATAACTTTCAACTTGAAATGAGACAAATTGTCACTGACAGCAAACGATATCTGAGGTTGTCTGATGTTGCAGGCTTGCCTATAGACCATGTTCCAAGAGGACTTGCATGTGCGTTTCGAAAAATATTACAATCAGATGGGACAATTACCGCCACAGCCACTGGATAGCCTTGTCCAAGCTTCCCTCCATGGCCAGCACCAGATGCAACTGGAAGGGGTGCAGTCATACCATGTGACTATAAAATTCATACTAATGAACAAAAAGATTTTGAGTTATTAACAGATGTCCGAAATTTCATGCTTGAGAAGGAGGCAATGAACATCAATTTGTTAAATAACAATTAAGAAATGCTCACAAAGGAGGTTTTTATTTTGAAATACAAAATATCAACATTTCAATTTTATTGTTCAAGTGAATAAATGTGTTTAATTTGTTAAATTCTATCAGTTTGTAGCTAGTAAATGCATATATATAGAGAGACAAACTACAAAGTTTTACAATTACATATTAAGTATGTTAATAAATTTTAAAACTACAGAAAAGTATATGTTATACATGATAATCAGAAGTTATGATGTGCCAATCATGGCATGACTCTAATAACTGCAAAAACGCTGCATTCATTACGTAGCACAAATATGGCAGAAAAATTCTACAGTTTCTAATGTCAAAACAGCACGGTGATAATCATGACATTTCGGTATGCATGACACATGTATCCAACTGTCACAAATATCGCATTGGACCCAACTATTTGTATCCTCTGTAACTTTTTTTTACAAACACAAACAGTGATCTGAATTAGAACCTGCAGTGAAGGATAAAGCCTTGTTTGCTTTAAAATAGAGAAAATAAGAATCCCTAAAGAAAGAAGCTTTTTTGGTTCACGTCATATCGACACAGTATAGTTCATATCGCGACGTTTCAACCTTACTGTTGGAGGAAGACCTCAGGTGCCCTTCCGTGCATTATTTCAGGCACGAACGGGCACCTGAGTAGAACCACCGACGTTACGTAAGCTAGCTGGAGAGCTTCCTCACATGAAAGAATCCAAAGTCACAGTCAGGGATACGAACCCACAGCGGTGAGGCGCAAGTGGTTTGAAGTCAACGACTTTAACCACTCGGCCACGGACGCCCCAAATATGTGAAGTATTTGGCAATGTACCATACATTTAATATAAATTTCGATCTGATAATTAGTAACCAGTCAGCCTGCATATAAAACAGATTTTATCCAATGTTGTTTAAGTTGTTTACGGAGGCTTTTCACATATTTCTTAATTTTCCTTGGGTTTATATGTAACAGCAAGTTTATTCCATAATGTCTGTTAAATCCATTTATGTCATCCTAAAACTGGATGTTACGGCAGCATTTAAGACAAGTCTGAATATTTAATTCCGCCGTTGTTAAAACCCTTTAAATGATTTAATTTTGTTGTGGAATATTGTAAACATTACACTCGATACGCCATATTTAACGTTGCATCCTGGGATGGTATCTACCATTTTGGGGTAGCTTTCATTCTACCATTTCAGGGTCGGTTATACCAATTCTTGGTATTTTACCCTTTTTTGGTCATTTCTACCACTACCTAGTATAAAAGCAGCAGATTCTTGGTTACAGAAAAACTTCAGATATTAACATTCTTGGTAGTAGACGTACGTTAATAAGTCTGCTGACATCTTAAAATAAATGTTAAGTTTAAGTAACAAACAAGTCAAGAGAATTATATCTAGTTGAGTTAAATACAGAGTTTAGAACCACTATTAGAATTTTATATAACTTAAATATAATAACATTAAAGTAACTGATAGAGATTCTTACTTCACTGTTTATTGAAGTAAATCTGGTAACTATTGCCACTGCGGCGTAAAACTGATACACGTAACACGGAGAGGTTTGGTTCATCAGGACTAAAAATAATCTTGAAGGTGTAGTGGAACTAAATTAGTGTAAGGTGATTTGTAAGTTGTCTTGAATTATTTTGAGAGCTGTTTGCTGATATAAATTCATGATTTGTTTAACAATTATTGTTATTGGAAATATTAACTTGCTGAACAAATTTTATAACTGTTAACAACGGTGTTGCCTGATTACTATTAGATGGGTTGGAGATCTACACATCACCTGAGTTCAGTACCTGATTGTATTAATACCTTGAGTACCAATATAAGGTTAGAATGAAGCGTATCCATCATTCTTAAGAGTCCCCAACCCACTAGACCGTAACACAATTTTATGGTGGCAGCGATGATATCTGCTATTCTATAGGCAGGTCCAGTGATTCGAACTAGTCTCAGAAGAGAAACTTCATTTCATCTTTACCGGAAAAGTTTTAGGTTAACATACTTTAATTGGAATTTTTGTTGTATTACAAAACATCAGTTAAGATGAGCAGTCCTTTACCTTGATAGTTGATAGTTCTGGTGAGATTACCTTTAATATTCCAAATGAACAAGGGCAAGACGATATTTACATGGGAAATATTGATGCGGCCTCTGATTGTGGGTCTACTGATGTAAGTATGGTTGATGAGGCTATTTATAAATCTAATATAAGAGATGCAAGTATTAATGATCAAATTGAGAGTAAGGCTACTATACTTAAAGATGTTGTTAAAGAATTAAAATCTATAAAGGCAGACCACCAGGGCCAAGGTAAAGTATACAGTAGTACCATCAATGTCAAAATGTAGAAGAAGACATTGTGCAGGAATTCATGGAAGGTCTTGTAGATGAAGAAGTAAAATTTGAGATAGAATTTAACAAAGAAACAAGTAAAACTGACGAAGCGGTTTATTTTGCGGTGACCTACATAATTACATGTAAAAGGCATATAAAGAGAAAGTAGAGGACATTTTCAAGCCCGCAGAGCTGTACAGCTAGAAACTAATAAGGAAGATACAAGTAACCCCAACAACAAATACAGAAATCATAAGGCTGACCAAGGTGATTATTTTTAACGATGGGTATAAACAATAAAAATAAATGCTTTTAAATTAATAGTAATTAATTAATCTGGAAATATATAGTAAGTAAATACCACAGACTTGGCGCAAAAGGAAACAAAAATATTTCAGGACAAACATTTATTAATCGACATGTTGTGTGACATATCAAAGCATTCTGATGTATTCTTCTTTTCGTGGTATTCGATATTCGAAGAAGTTCGTGCGACACAGTGACATCGTGCCAAATGAAAAAAACATGATAAACAAGATCAAGAAGGAAAGGCGGCGTTAAATAATTTTTAATTGTTAAGAAATTTAAAAAAACACAAATAGGTAATTGAATAACAGGCCCACAAAGTGAAAGGAATAATAGGCCTACAAAGTGAAAGACCAAATGGGAAGGGGACAGGAGACCGGGGGGAAGGGGGTGTAATATCAAAGAAATACAAACAAGGGGTAAAGGGGAAATACTTATAGTAGACTAGAAAACAACAAGGGAAACAAGCAAAAGTGTCACCAAAACAGTATGAAACAACATAGACATACATCTGAGGAACACAGAGGTGTCATTAAAAAAATGGCAGTTTTTAAAAAAAAAAAGACCAATTTTACTTGACCCGTAATAGGGAATGCAGCTTACCATAATAGTTTATTCATTATTTTATTCAAATCAAACATATTCAGTAAGAATTTCGTGGATTTCAATGCATTTCTAAGATAAAAATATTTTACCAAAAGATGAGCATAGTATATCTTTAACTCATTATGTCATATATGTACTATGTTGGTCGTTCTTTTGCAGAAATATGCTTGGAAGAAAGCCAGAGATGGAACATCGGCGATACCGGTGCCAGGTGTGTGGTAAAGAAGTTCGAAAGGGTCGGTTAATTGGGCATGTACTGAAGTACAATATTCCTATGGACTGGGTACCCTTCTCGTGTAGCTTTTGTAACTTTCGTTGTATGGACAAGAAGACCCTTGCAAACCACTTTAATAGTTACCAGAGGCATGAAGATGAAGTTTTTAGATCTGGAGTAACAAATTTCGCTTCCGTTTTAAACAGGACAGAGAATCCCGTAAATGCAGAGGCAATGATACTGACTGTGTAACTGGATCTGCCAGACCTGGATTTTGGTGACATTGAATTATCCATTTTCGATTTGCAGGACCAAACGAAACCGGTGCTCCCTGATTGGTTGGCAAAATCTGATATGGCCACACCAGCTGGACAGTTGCATACGCCAAATCAAAACTCAAATAGGGGATTCCTTTCAGATCAGAATTCGTTAACACCTTCGGCAGTGATATCAACACCTGTAAATGCTGTAAGGAATTCCTGTTGAAGACTCAAAAATGTGCCTCTTCAGCCATCGTAGTAGCTTCAACCCAGTCAACCTAACCACTAGCTAATTGGACTCGAGGATTTGCAGCAAGTGCAAAATCCTCTCAACCTATATCTCCTTCTGTATTAACATTCGACACGCAGTTGTCCTTACCAGCTTGTAACAAATTGCCGTCAAATTACGTAACAGCTTCTTCTACAACTTCCATTCCTCTTCTTTCGTCAGAAGTACAACCTTGTTGCCTACTTTACCAAATCTGACACAAGCACAAGCTGCTATTGAAGCTGCATCATTCCCGCAAAAGTCAATACCTGACCACCGTGTAACTGTGTCATCAGTGAAGCATACATATCTTCAGGATAAAGCTGTCTATGTTCTTAGTGACTTGTTAGATGGGTCCTATAAGTATGATCCTCCACTCCAAGAAGGTCGCAGGTTGAGCTGGAGCCCACAGAAGGAAAAGCCCACAACATATTTTTCAACCTCATCTCAGACAGTCAAGACTCCTCCATCTGATGACAAACTGAAGAACATCTGAATGGGTATCCACTCTAATGGGAGAGTACTCCATACAGTCAACAGGAATTTGAGGTCGATATTAGAGGAGTTGAGGAACATCCATGGTATATTTGCGTCTCTCGAGAGAACATGTACCAAACGTAGCAACTATGATAGACCACCTCCTCTACCAGCAAGGTCTTGGTCCCCTAACAACAGTAAATATAACTCGTCTGCTGAAAAAGAAAACATGAAAAGTGCTGTCAAAAAAGTAAAAAGGAATTCATCTATTTAACGACGTATATGTCAAACTTATATTTCGCCTGTCATATAGAGAATAACATGCTACTGTCTTTTGATATCAATTTTATCAGGCGAGGCTGATACGGGCAGAAAGGGCTCGGCTTTCTGCCCGTATCAGCCGAGCCTGATAAAATTGATATCAAAAGACAGTAGCATGTTTTTCGATTTATCATGTAACACATAATAACTGTCAAAATAACAAAATAATCTACTTTTAAATAGCGAATTTCGTTAAAAAGGGGAATTTTTGTTCAAAGAAATAATTCTTGAAAACAAATTCCTCCGCCCCTGACACTTAGAATTTGTAATTGGCGGCCATTTTTTTTTCGACTTGGATAAAAGATACAACAGAATGTAGGCATAATACGATTACATTCTTACCTTTAATTTAAACATCGATCGAAAAATCCGCTTAGAATCACATAAACTAAACTTTACTGCAATTTTTGTCTTGACTTGTCAAGTTCAAAAGTTCACGATAATTTCAATCAAAGAAAAGTCAAATCGGCAATCAAACACAAGCTACACAAACATGCGTCTTATTTTTTAAACGAAACAATTTGTTCACTTAAAATAATAATCCGGCGAAATAAAGTAAACACTTACAAATTCTCATAGATAAAATCGTCAGCCTGTTTGTTATGATTACATGTATAGTATGACGTGAACATCGATGATGTCATTTGCAATAAAAATTATGACGTCACTTCATTTAGTTGGTGCTAAAACTATTCGCTATCTAATTTATTCGTAATTGAAATCGAAATAATAAATAAATAAATTTCGCATATTGATTCAAGACTTGTAAGGGTATGAGATTACATTGTAGAATTCACATGCTGATGAAAATGCTCGAATATAAGCAATTGAAAAAAGTCCGTTAAAATGGGCGGGGCTAATTTTTGATATCAGGTTACTGACGTGATATCAAAAATAATTATCAGGCAAGTGTTATCGGGCAGTTACCATAGCAGTTGCATGATAAAATGTTTAGACGGGTCCGTTTTGTGTCTGTCAATGGCAAGAGGACACAAAAATGGTAGGAAATTTTATGGTTTTTTTTTCAAACGGATCTATAGAATATATGACCATTTAAATTCAACAATTGAAATATAGATAAAATGAAACATAAATAGGACATTCTTTCACATAAAGTTTCAAAATATACTTAATATAGTGATATTTGATAATTATTTAAAGTGCTAAAACAAAATATGATAAACAAGATCAACAAGGAAAGGCAGCGTTCAAAGAACGCAACCCCATGCGACCCAGCAACAGGAACCAGTGGCAAGGAGCCCAGGTGGACCCCAAACACAGGACAGGGCACAAGAGAGAGGACGGACAGGCCAATCACTAAATGATAAATAATTTGTAAATGATAAGAAATTCAAAGAAAACAAATAAATGATTGAACAATAGGCCCACAAAGTCAAAGGACACAGGGGAAAGGAGACCGGGGGAAGGGGAGGGGGTTAATCAAAGAACTAAAAACTAGGGTCAAAGGGAAAGATACTTACCGTAGACGAGAAAACAACAAGGGAAATAATCAAAAGTGTCACCAAAACAGTATGGAACAACATAGACATACATCTGAGGAACACAAAGGGGCACCGCCTTGGAACGGTCAGCAGCAAAATAATGACTGCTGGGGAGTTTAAACCGGTTAATCGTGCACCAAACTTCGCTCTCAGTTCCACCATGTACCTTAATACAAGACAGTGTAAATAAAATGAATCCCCGCTTAGTGAAATTCTAACATTTGGTACGGTTACAAAAGGTTTAATAAGTAAAAAACCAAAATGATCATGTAGAAACATATATAAGTAAACCATATGACCATAACAAAAGTACTCATGTTCTAAAAGAAGACATAGCAACAAGAAAATCACCTACAAGGGCCCGACGAAACAAGGCAGAAGACGAACATTAAGACAATTCAGTCCCAAAGGGCTTTAAGAAATGTCCATCATAGAGTCTTCCAGATGTACTCAAAAGAGGAAGACGTAGTGTCCAACTATATAAGGGTCTTAAAATAGAAGGGTCATAACCTCTTTTAATAAAACGTTTAATGATTTTAGTAAAAACAGCAGAAAAATTACCATGACCCAAAATCTAACAAAGTTTGCAAATCACATCGCCATTAAAACCAGACTGGCTAATCCCTTGTCGCAGAAGAGTTCTTAAATCACTATTGAATTTTGAAATTAAATCAAAATTACGATTGTCAAATTTAGTAAAATATTTCCGTAATTTATGATAACGGTAGCCCTGTTTTAGAAGCTTGCTTGTAATAAAAATATTCCGCTCGTTGAAATCTTTACGTTGCTACAAGCTCTAGCGAATCTAATTAACTGAGAAACATATACCCGTAAGATGTTGCATGGGGTACGTCTCCATCTAAATGTGGATAATTAACTATACAAAAGTCAAAGTCATCTCTTTTATCAGAGATTTTTTTGTGAATAGAATTGTTGTTGATAGTAATAGGAAGATCCAAAAAATGATGTACTAAGATTTCAAGAGTTCGTTCTATTAAGTTGTAGTTCATGCGGATCAGACACCATTTGATCAAAATAAGATTTATCTAAATTAAAAATATCATGGTATCTGGAGGTATTATTAAATGCGACTATAACATCTAATTGTTTATCTTCAGAGAGACTCAACATAAAGTCTCTTTCATAGCAGTGCAAAACAAATCGGCGACCAGGGTTTCACAATTAGTTCCGATAGGAATTCCTATGATCTGTTTAAATAAGGTATTACCAAACCTGACATAAATCTTGTCTGAAAGAAGAGAGAGTGCTCTACAAACTTCGTCAGAGGTCCACATAGTTTAATATACAACAATATCGTTCAATAAACTGGTGTTATACCTACTATAAATTTGTACGCAAATTCCATTGAACAGTTCTGGAAAGTGATGAGACTCGTTTAAGTGAACTAATCGTGAGTTTTGATATGATTTTAAAGTTTGTTTTACATTAACAGTTTTGTGTCGTTGCATGACACCATAGAATTTTTGTTATAAAAAACCTTTAGGACATTTTGGAGTGTAGCTTTGATGTTACATAGAATATGTGTGGCAACAGGAGTTTAGCCAAATGTCCTAGGGGGTAGTGTAATACCCCGGTATTATGTGACACTTAGGTGTTTTGTCTAGTTTTATGGAAAGTTAATTCTTTATTTTAACATATGTGCGGTTACTGCAAACGTAAACAAATCAATTGTGTTATAACTTTAAACATGTTAAAGATAAATTACCTGCACATTTGTTGTGTACCACCAGTATATTTTGCTGGTTTTCTGGTAATGTTCTGGTCATTCAACATTGTAGCCTTTATCATAGTTTGACAAGATTTCTGTGAACATGTGAAGTATTTGGCAATGTACCATACATTAAATATAGATTCCGATCTGATAATTATTGACCAGCCAGCCTGCATATAAAACAAATGGTGCTTGACATTCATCTTTCCAGATTTTATCCATTGTTTATGTTGTTTACGGAGGAGTGGTCAGTTACTAAGAAAATTTTACATTCCAGAACCAAATCAACTAAAAATAACTTTCATACAAAATAAATCATCCATCATTCAACTTGCAAAACCAGTTCAATCACCCATTTAAAAATGGAACAAAGACAAACATGAACACATAACACCACAAAAGATTTTGTTTGGCCTTTAGGGGAAATAACTACCGGATTATTATTAAAAAGAAGAAACTTTTTCAAATTTAAAACCTTATCTAAATATTTTTTGCTGACTTTCAAAGTTGGGCTGATATTAATTAGATGAACATGTCGTAGTATGATAATGTGTTAATAGAATTGAAACCAAACAAATTTTTTAAAATCTATTCATCTTTTTTTCCATTTATTAAGCGAGTAAAAAATGTGTCTTCAACCGTTTATCTATCGTTCATGCATTTAAATGTGATATTTTGCAGTTGTAAATGTAAAAATTAGCCCGAGCATTTCTTTCATACTAACGATCTGTTCATCGTCTCAAAAAACCTGGCTTGAAATACAAAAAAGGGTATTTTTTTAAAAGCTTAACGCAAGATTTGTATAGCTTTAGTGGAATTTTCAGTCAAATGTCGAAAATTGGATTTAACGCATCGTTTTATTCGTGACGCCCCGAAGTTCCCACTGGGATCTCTGGGTTCTGGCTTAGAAAATCTTGTTTATTTCAACGTGACGACATTGTCGGAGCAATATTACGGTGATATGTGGTAACGATTTTTTTATTTACTGAATTGTGTCTCCTAGCAACATTGAACTATATAACGACTTATTCCAGTTAAATGATCAAAAGTATATGTTAAATAGTATCTTGACTGCGAAAGGTATTTTAATTAGAATATAAAATAAAAAAATAGAATATAAAATGCCAGAGAATTGGTTTAGATAATAAAACAAAATAGAAAAACAAAAATAAATGTTATTTGTGTTCATCTTTAAGTCTTAACGTTAGAGAAAACTTTATGAAATATTAACATTCTGTATATATCTTATCATATTATTAGTATGAAAATTGATAAATAAGAAGAATTGGTAACACGGAAAATTGAAATTACTAAAAAAAGATAGACGCAGAAAAAAACTTTTCAAACTAAACTGATTGTTTCATATTTGTATCGACAGGCTAGAAGCTAGAAAAATAGAGTTCTATGAACATCAAGGAACCCATATTGACGCACCATTGCATTTTGGTAATGGTCGACAATCTTTAGAGCAGATTCCACCAGAAAGATTATATGGACCTGGTGTTGTAATTGACGTCAGAGACAAGGTCAAGGTCAATCCTGACTATGCTGTCACAGTGGATGATATTCTTGGTGAGGTCTTTTCATTAAGTAAAATTATTTATATATAACTCGACTCATATTCATACTTCTGAAATGAAATTTTTATACATCTAATAGCTACTGTAAATTATCGTCACCAAACTTTTATGGAACTAGATAGTTAACGCATGTCTTGTCCGACGGCAAAAACTTTTATTATTTAGTAAGTAAAGTATTTGCAATGTCTATCGTTTTATTTTGTGAATATTGACTTGAATTATAAACACACCTGTCAACTGGTTGCAAGTACATCATTTGCGGTTAGAAATTGTGCGCTTGGTTAGTTTTTTTAATCTGCTATCAATTGCTGCACAAAATATCATAGACAATTATGTCTATAAAAAAGAGACCACAAAGAAGTACATATCTTGGTAATCAGGTTAAAACTGACATTTACTCGCTACATTAACAGATTGTTTATATCTGTGCCAAATGAAACAAAACAACTGATAGGTCAAAATTATCTCATGAAAATTGCAAATTGCACTTCTATGCATTTTGAATAATTGATAATTTTAGAACCATTTTATGTAAGAGAGAAGTTTTAAGAGGAAAATACACTTATAATAAAAAAGCAAACAAATGTTTAGATGAGACCTTTCTTTGCTTGTCTTTCTAATTTTGTATTAGTTACAAAGCATTCTGTGTGAAAAAAGTATTCTTGAATATGTTAAGTACACTTTAAGAAATCTTTGTAAAGAACCAATGACTAATAATTTTCATTATGAAAAAATGATTTTGATGTTATTCATTTCCGTAACAGCTGGTTTTTAATAAAGACAAGACAACGCTTTATTTATCTACAAATTTTAGTCAACCTAATTATTAACCTTATATCATAAAGTTCATCTTAACTTATCTTGCGTTATGTACATATGGTTGTATAAGGTAATATCATATCTAGTTATTCTTACAGGATGTAAATTTTATCATGCATACAAAGTTTTTGTAAAAAATAACAATGTTTTTGGGGTTCATTTTATAAATATGGCGTGATGTGCACGCGTAAGTGGATATTGTAGGTCATTATTCAGATTATAAGCAAGTAGACCAAGTTTAAAAACATTTAAATTCTGTAAACAGATACTTAATGGTCTTTTTAAATTTAAGATGCAGTCAATTTTGTTTAAGTTTATATTACATTACAATGAAATACCCGGTGTTTAGCTGATGTTACGTATCATTTCTCTAGGTTGGTATAAAAAGAATAAATCGAAGGAATAACTTGATTATATTTGCATCTTTATTCTTCATTCAAACAATGGTTATTGTAAGCACTAGCATTAATATTGACCTACTCTGCAGCTGCCTTTTGTAACAGCTCTCGTACACAGTTTTCTAAATGATAAATGTTTATTACTTAATCGACCAATTTATCATATATTTCTATAAAAAAATATGAGACAATGTAAATGTTGATAGGTAATACATTTGATTTCTAATAAACCAGAACATGAAAGAGAACATGGTAAAATACCACCAAATGCAATTGTAAACATGAACTCTGGTTGGGCGAACAAGTACCCGGATGCACGACTAGTTTTTGGTACAGCCAACGTTACAGATCCAAGTTCCTTCCACTTTCCTGGCTGGAGTCCAGAAGCCTGCGAGATGCTTTTACAGAAACGACAGGCATGTTTCTAATTTTTTTTTATCAACCCCTTCTTTTAAAGATGTCATATTCATTCATTTCATATTAAAATACAAATGTAGCTTTGACAAATTAAACTTAATATGCCATATAGATTTCTGTGAAATTTCGAAATAATATCCCCGAAAAATTTGTTTTACCTATCTCGACCAAAATGTTATTTATGTCGTTCTTAATTTCTTTCAAGATTAACGTTCTTGGAGTGGATACACCTTCAATTGATCCAGCACAGCCCCCGATATATCCATGTCACATGTACCTCCAACCTAACAATGTCCCATTGATGGAATACGTGGCAAATCTTGATAGTATACCTGTACGCAACACGACCATTGTGCTGGGGGCAATGAAAGTTCGAGACGGTACCGGCGGACCAACCAGAGTGTTTGCTTTCATTGATGAAGAACATGACGACATGACAGATTCTGTAGAGACAATATATCCATGGGTTTATTTAATCTTTATCATGCTCTGTTGTTTGTACATGTAGAAATTAATCAGAAAATGAATTTAAAGGAGATACGTAAATAAATATACTTTTGACAGAACACGAAACACTGATGTCACTTGTATTTATATGAGCTATAGAACTAAATCAATATTCGTATATAAATATTAGAGCTATATACATTTTTTTACGACGCTGTCTGTTACTATGCAGTATCGATAGGATGAAGTATTTCTAACAGAAAAATCGAAAGACAAATAAATATGTTTATGTAATTTTACAAAATATTAGAAGCTAAGAACGTTTCATGGTATCAAAATACCACATACAGTTTATCCTTACACAATTTCAAGTCTAGGTAAATTTAAGCGACATTATTTGTATCTTCATATATTTAATTCCAGAGATTGATAAGGTAATGCAACATATATTTTATTCTACAGTTAATAGTCATATAGTTCAAATGTAATGCGGTGTAATGTGGGATAAGTAGCATTCTTTATAGACAGCTAGTAAGTTAAGAAGTTTTGTTGACACTTATAAAAAGGTTATAACCTATCTAGCAGAATTTTGCAAATAACACAAGCATGAATATATTTCTTTCAGCTGACAAAATATTGCATTAAAATACGTCCTACGCAAATTATTGTTGTGGTTATCATTTAACAGTATATCATAAAGTAAAATGAATGTCCATAAATACTAAACGGCTAACATTTAAAGTTATGTCCTTTCTGTGAATGCATAATCCAGGTAACTTGCAAGGTTATTAATTGTTTTGATATTTGTGATTGGCATAAGTTTATATAAGTGTTTTGAACTTCTGAATTGTAGGTCATCTAAACAAGTATGGCTCAAAATCTTTCTACATAAATTTGGATTATTTGGGCATATTAATTTGAAACGATATGCTGTTTCTACTTAATTTAATTAACAGTTCCGACATTTTCTATTAATGATATTAGCTGGCAGTGATATTTGTTAAAGAACTGAAAACCAACCTATTAATTAACTTAAAATTGAATTCATGAAAGAATTAAGACACCATTGAACTCTGAAACAGCAGAATTAAGAAGTGAGCTCTAGCTCTACTTTGAAAGATCAAAGAAGACAGTTACAAGCTGGACTACAAGAAAATCAACTTGAAGTAGACGAATAACAGCAATATGGGAGATGCATGTAATTTGACATATTTCGAATACTAGTACCCGGTATTTACGAAAACATCAGAAAGAAAATTCTCGATCACGTAAACAAAGTCAAACTAAGTAATTGTGAATCGCTGAATAGCATATCTCCGGATATGGACCGATATCATCGCAAAGGTAAATTTAAAACGAATACCTAAACTGCAGGAAAGTTATTGAGAAATTCAAGAATTCGAGTGCCAGGCAACGCATATATGAAGCACCTAAAGAACTTGGCGTTCGGGATAACATAACAAAGTTTTGCGAACGACGAACAGCTTGTCCGTTTTAAAAAAATCTGGATTAAACAAGGGTTGCAACACTACCACCGCGAAGTATTCATAAAGAATCTTATCAAAGACGTGTCAGTTATCTAGTCCATTGCAGATGGTTCTATTTACAGTTTTGTCTAAACAGTTACCTAACAAAAACTGTGCTACTTTTTAAACCGTTAGTTAAAGGAAACACATAACAATGACTGTACATTTTTACCTTTATATCAGATGAATTTTTATGTCATTGTAACTTACTATCTAGTGTTAACGAAACTCAACCGTTTTTTTTTGTTTTTGTTTTTTTTGTTTTTGCTTTTCTTTTCCGCAAAACGGAATTTTATTATAAATATATTTCAACTGTTAGTGTATACATAAATAGTGTGTGCGTAGTTAAAAACTCTTGTCAGAATCTTGAATCTATGAACTCCGTGTGAATAAGCACCTTTAATAATAATTAACAGATATCTTTTTATTATTATAGATTTAAATCAATCTGCATTACTTTTAACAATAATTGGTAACTTTCCAAAACACTATATCTTAATACTTACACACAAAGATCAAAACAAACATCTGTTTTAAATGAACTTTAAATGTGAAAATTTCTTTAAAACAAATTTTGGGAAAAATAACGCCGATTTTTTTAAGTTTTAAACGGGGATACATGTACTAAAATTTACCAATTAAAATTTAAAACTGGGAAAATGTTGGAGAGCAACTAACCAAAAAAAAGTGACTTTGCCCTCGCATAGTAGAAAATGAGAAAATTTTTTATTTCAATGTGAGTGTACACGACCCCCTAAAAAAACCAAAACTATAAATATCCAAAAAAAATTGCAAAATTCCTTGAATGCTCTTTCTTAAAGAGAAGAAACATCATATTTGCATGAAACTTAATGTAAAAATTGTTACGAGCTAAACGCAACAGAGAAGATAACGCAGCAACAATTTTTACAATTTTTGATTAAGTTAAAACAGTTATTGACAATAATACAAAAAATATATGAAAATAAAGTTTAACTCACAATTAACCACAACAAATGTCCTAAAGTTTAACTCGCAGTTCGAAATTCAATTGTCCAAATTTAGCCAATGTCCGATGTCCACAGCAGAAAAACACAATATGTGCAAAACATATGGTGGCTGACTTGTGCCATTAGTGTTTTCACCACGCAATCCCGCCAAACGAAAAGTCGAGAATTAACAAGTTAAAATGGCGGGATTTCGGAGCGTAAACATTCGCGCGGGACGAGATTTAAGAAATATAACGGGGCGCGGAGCGAATACACGCTAATTAGCGCCGCTGCTAATTAGCGTATTTTCGCGCCGCGACTTCGCCAGATTAACTTGTTAATTATTGACTTTGCCCTGCGCACCCGCTAATAAACGTGTTTTCGTCCCGCCACACCGCCGTTTTATTTATTAAACTTCGCCCCGCGCCCTCGCTAAAAAGCGTGTTTTCGCTCCGCGCCCCCGCCATTTTAACTTGTTACTTTTCGACTTTTTCCTTGGCGTGGTCGCTGGGCGTGAACACGAATGGCACAAATCAACCACCATAAAAACACTTCCCACACAGAATTACAGAATCGAATCCATACTAATATACCGGGTATTCCTATGTTAGCAGTATATCAACATCACACAATAATAAAAATTAGCACACATCTCAAAGTACAACATTCATCATATATATATATATATATATACCTGTATACTATCAATGAACAATCTAGAATACTAAACTACTTAGAAAAAGAATATTTCAGAATGAACATGAAAAGAACTTTCTTTAAAGAAGATGAATGCTTATTACAAATAATATAAACATCAAATAAACAAAAATATTGAAAATGAAAGTGGATAGTGGCAAGAGTAGGTATTAAACCAACGACCTCAAGATTATCAATTCTGCGCGCTACCTACAGAGCTATTCAGAAAATAGATACTTAAAACGTTTATAATAAAGCCTAGCTAAATAACGATATCAATGTACATGTCTAACTTTTTTTGTGACTTATCATTCAAATTTGACATTGTTAGCTAAATGTTTATTTAAGGTGATTCCGCATTTTCGGCTTGTTTTTGCTAAGTTGGTCCAAAGTGAAAGTAGGCCAAAATTCATATGGCAACAAAGCTCACAGTATAAAATGACATACCATTTGCAATTACATTTCAAGGTCTATGTTTTAAGGACTATTTTTAACAAAAATAAAAACGATAACAATAAGAATATTTATCTTGAATGTGCTTTATTTCTGAAGACCAGGTACAGTCTGTTGCAAAGTGTTATGCACATTTCATAGATGGCAAAATCCAGTTTTTGTTGTAGTGCAGACAAATGTTGTTTTTGACAGAAAATAAACAAAACTTTGCAAAAACTTAAATCTTAGGAAAGTAGTTTTTCTGACTTTGATAAAAACATGGCCTCCATGCTGTGTATAAAACAGTGAGAAATAAACATTTTTTTATATATTTCATGTATAATGACAGACAAACACACTTCACTGTTACACAACAAAAAGGTTCAATTTTAAATTTAAAAATTGTTTTCATTTCAACTGTAGTTCATAAGGCTATATATGGTGACTACATTCTCGCGCTACTTTTTTATAAACAATAATACAGGACATGTGCTTAGAAGGACATGAGATACTGCTTTATTTGGAATTAAGTTTTCCCTTTTTTGTAAATTAAGGGTATAACTTTAAGGGGCAGGACGTGAAATGGTTGCACACTTGGTTAAAGCGAGAAAAATAAATATAGCAGAATCTTCTTTTATCTGCTACAGTCTAGTGTTGTACGACACTTGTAGTTTGATAAACGTCTACGGTTTACTTTACATGTAGAAAATAAATTTAAATGCGTAATTATACTAAAGTATTTCGACGAAACACAAAGTTGCCTTCAAAACGGTAGTATGATTGTCATTCTCACGAATGATCTAAAAAAGTAAACGTATTCCAAAAAAAAAGGTATGTTGGTTATGTCTTAGAAGTCGAACGCACTTATTCATTTTTTTAAACTTGATTTACTATATAATATTTTGGCCGATTTACTTTACATGTTTCTCGTTTTGGCCATATCGTTGCACCGATTTTCTTCGTTATAATGTTTGGTAGTTGTATGCCTTTTTAGAAATGTCTTTCTTAAAACTAAGCTGAATTTTCTGCGATTCTACGATTATTTTTCCTCCGTTCTGACGTACATATCTATTGAAATCATCGAGCAATATCGTTATAATGATTGTGAAATAACGAAAATCAACACGGTGAATTTTGTTTTATTCTTTAGCATTTCAGAGACTCATGAAGGAAATTACTTATGCAATAAAAGTATAGTGTCAATGTTGATATAAATGGAAACTACTAGTATCAAACAATAAAAAACATTGTACATTCTACATTTTCTATTACATCTCAAACATTATAAAAACAATATTTATTCCTTGTTATGTATTAAAATGGCATTGATTAATAAAGTTTTTTTTATTACAAAAAACAACACTATTAAAAGAAACAACACTAATACTCAGTGTTGTCGAAAACAGATAGAAATCTTTTAATTTTTCTAAGTTTATATCGTTCACTATTGCAAGATGTCTAATCAAGTACAGATATCCGAGGGTTTCTACTGATCTGTACAGGTAGGTCTACTTGTTCAAGTTTGATCACCAGCAAAATATTATCTTCTCCATTTTGTTCTGCAAATAATGGCAGAATACACGTCCTGAGTTGTAGATTGTTACAATTAATGTCTTCTAAATAACTATGTGATAAAACAACTATAAATTGTCTGCTTTGTTCGGTTGCTTTCATATATAAATGTAACAAAGATGCTCCTGCTTCGTGTGCAAGATCTCTTGGTGGGAAACAAACGGTGTTACCACATTCCTGTTCTATATATGATAAAATAACATGTTCTGTGAAAGCATTGTCGTTCTCACTATGTGATATATATACATCGTAAACTGTCTCTCGGCAAGGTAAAATTCCAGCAAAATGTATATTTTCAATTTGAGGAACAGGCTGTCTTATTGAACCAAAAAGGAGCATATTTCTTACTGGAATGATTGTCAAACAACAATATAAATGTATAACATAGTTTACCACCTTCATCACGAAAAGTGCTACAACCAAATACAGTAAGAGTAAGAAAGAAAGACCATTAAAATATGAGTAAACACTTATGCGCAGTTTACTT